TTTTAAATATAGTTTAAGGGACTTTTGGTTGAAATAAATGGGGAAAAAAAATAAGAATTTTTTTTCTATTTATTTTATTTTTTTTGAGACAGAGTCTCGCTTTGTTGCCCAGGCTAGAGTGAGTGCCGTGGCGTCAGCCTCGCTCACAGCAACCTCAGACTCCTGGGCTCAAGCGATCCTCCTGCCTCAGCCTCCCGAGTAGCTGGGACTACAGGCATGAGCCTCCATGCCCGGCTAGTTTTTTATATATATATATATATTTTTTTTTTAGTTGCCCTGCTAATTTCTTTCTATTTTCAGTAGAGACGGGGGTCTCGCTCTTGCTCAGGCTGGTCTCGAACTCCTGAGCTCAAACGATCCTCCCTCCTCGGCCTCCCAGAGTGCTGGGATGACAGGCGTGAGCCACCGCGCCTGGCCTAAAACATACACATTTTTTAAAGAAGGGAAGATACTGAGTAAAGGAAAAACAGTGACTCTAGAACGCAGAAATTATAGAGCATTCCGACTTCATTTTGTGCCACAAAATGAGAGTAAAGAGAAAAGTGCCCAGTCCTCCTCGGCCTGGCATCTTAGATGACTGAGCTAACTTTTTTTCACCTGGAAAAATCTTGGCAAAGAGCATATTTTCAAATTAGCAAGAAAAATACAGTTCTCTGAAAACCCATCCACTTTTCCCAGGCCAGCCGTACGGCTCCCCCGGCCTCTCTGGTGTGACATTCAGCCAGTTCCGAGGATTTATGGAGGAATGCAGCAGGCGCAAAACAGTGCTTGGTGCTACAAGGGTTTATAAACGAGGATTACAACGCAGGCTCCATCCTCAAGAAACACGCCCTGGGCGAGCCGTGCTCTGGGGCATGCTCGTCCTCCCAAGGCAAGAGGGAGCATGAAAGGGAGAGGGAGATGAGGGCAGAAGTTTGGGGGGAAAAAAGTAGAGTTATGGCGATAGAAAAGAAACAGGCTGGGCGCGGTGGCTCGCGCCTCTCATCCCAGCACTCTGGGAGGCCGAGGCAGGAGGATCGTTCAAGGTGGTCAGGAGTTCGAAACCAGCCTGAGCAAGAGCGAGACCCCCATCTCTACTATAAATAGAAAGAAATTAATTGGCCAACTAAAAATATATAGAGAAAAAAATGAGCCGGGCGTGGTGGCGCATGCCTGTAGTCCCAGCTACTCGGGAGGCTGAGGCAGGAGGATCGCTTGAGCCCAGGAGTCTAAGGTTGCTGTGAGCGAGGCTGACACCACGGGACTCACTCTAGCCTGGGCAAAAAAGTGAGACTCTGTCTCCATAAAAAATAAAGAAAATAAAAAATAAAGAATTACAACTTCAGAAGGCAGACCACATTAAAACTACGATCAATAAATTACAGTAATTCTGAAATATTTTGCGACAGAGGACTCTCTGTATTTCGCTGCGAGCCCAGCCTCTCGTGGATTTTGATAGGATACAGCGAGGTGATCTCTGTCTCCCGTAATGAGAAAGATAACACAGTGCAATCCGTGTTTCTCCTCTCTGAGGCCACTAGCTCACAAAGCTAAAGCTATGCTTGCAAGTTGAAAGTCAGAAGCTATAGGCATAAATGGGAAAATAATTTTAATTTTTTTGTCCAAGAACATATTCCAGGGGCAACTCCCAGAAGAATTTTAAGTTCCCTTTAGTCATGAAAACAATAACAGAAAGTTTACCAGGGGAGGTCATGGGCATTTCTTTCCCTCCCCTACTATACACATGGCTTTTAATTTTTAAAGCAATTTAATGAAACACAATCTAAATCAAGTGATTAGAGAAACCAGATGGGGTAAATTGAGTCACAAAAGGTATACACATGCCTTCTTCTCTCACCTTTTGATTTTGATTAAGTCCTTCGATATAAATGTCAAGTTTTCTTCTAAAATACCAAAGGCACGAAAGAATGAAAAGTTCGAACTCATTCAGCTACTTCTTCAAAGAAAAGCAAAAAAGCAAACCCACTGCTTGTCCTACTGCTTCCAAAAGAAAACTTCATACAAAATTACTACACACATAACATGCAAAAAAAAAAAAGAGTAAAGCCTCACTAACAGCTATATAAATAATAATAGACGAATTAACTTCTCACCTGCATCTAATTTCATGAAATACGTTGGTTTTTCAATGACGACGTCACATTTAGCATCTTCTATGGGTCTGAAGTCGAGCTCAGTGTAGGCCTGCAGCTCTGCAAGACCGAATGGATGCTGGGACATTATTTCAAAGTCATTCCCCCCAAAGCCTCCCCATGGCAACGTTGTAACTTAAGATACCTGCTCATTAAGCACATTTCATTTCTGGTTTGCAGAGATACCCACTGTGGAGACCTATAACTTCTGAAACTTACTGACATTTATATAATTTGACATCGATTTTAAGGTTGAGATTGGGAACAAAAATCATATTATAAAATCCAGTCTAGGCCGGGCGCGGCGGCTCACGCCTGTCACCCCAGCACTCTGGGAGGCCGAGGCAGGAGGATCGCCCGAGGTCAGGAGTTCGAGACCAGCCTGAGCAAAAGCGAGACCCCGTCTCTACTATAAATAGAAAGAAATTAACCAAAAACCTAAAAATAAGAAAAAATTAGCCAGGCACAGTGGCGCATGCCTGTAGTCCCAGCTACTCGGGAGGCTGAGGCAGGAGGATCGCTTGAGCCCAGGAGTTGAGGGGTGCTGTGAGCGAGGCTGACGCCCACGGCACTCACTCTAGCCCTGGCGACAGAGTGAGACTCTGTCTCAAAAAACAAATTTTTTTTTTTTAAGTAAAAAGTTTTAACATTCAAAAAGCTGGCCACATTGGTGTTAAAAGTCAGGGTAGCATTTACGTTTGGAGGGGAGGATGGGGATGAGCCTGGGGTATTGACGATAGTCTTTTTTGTGACCTGTGTAAGGGTTACCTGGGTGGGTTCACTTTTTCATAATCTGAGCAACACATTTTTCTGCTTATTATATATTTCAGTATATATATATTTTGTAAAAAGTGTTTCCCAAAATACTTGCAGCAATTATGAGTTAATAAAAATTCACTTTTTTTTTTTTATTTTTGAGAGACAGGGTCTCATTCTGTCACCCAAGCTAGAATACAGTAGCACAATCATACCTCACTGCAGCCTCAAACTCCTGGGCTCAAACGATCCTCCTGCCTCAGCCTCCCAAATAGTGGGGACTACACGTGTAAAACCACCACACACCTGGCTAATTTTTTTTTTTTTATTTTTTGTACGGACAGGGTCTCGATATGTTCCCCAGACTGGTCTCAAACTCCTGGCCTCAGGGGATCCTCCCACCTCGGCCTCCCAAATCACGCTGGGATTTACAGGCGTGAGAGCCACTGCATCTGTCCTCAATTTTGAATTTTTTCTTTCACTTGCAAACAGTAAGGACTCTATCATACTTCCTAAGATCTTATAGACACATATTTAATTCAGACACAAACAAGAATTCACTCCGTGGCTGTCATTCCCAGAAGCTCGTGCCAAATTATCTATAGATGAAGTAACATTTTCCAGTTGAGAGACCCTGCAAAAATCTACCGGTGCCAAAAATAAAGGCAAACATTTCAGAAACAGATTTTTAAAAATAAAAAAAATCTTACCACGACTGCAGAGGGCTTTTGCGTTGACTTTCAGACATGAGCGTACGAACGTCAAGTGCGCAGTGCCCTCCAATTTCACCAGCCTGGAAAAAATCCTCCTTAAACCTAGCGCAGAACGAAAGATGGAGTTGAGTTCAGAAAACATTTTCGCGGACTCAAGCACATGGGTTGTAATTAAGGTGGATGACCAATCTGTAAAATCTGTTTTTTATTGGCACTAAAGTAATGATAACAGAAAATTTCAAAGCCACACAAGAAGGCAGGATCATACTAAGGAGCGGGGCGCACTGAGCTATGGGGGCAGCCGTGGCCACGCTGGGGCCATCCGCCTCCTCGCCCTCCAATCCTCCCTCATACTATCACCAGATAAATCCAGCCGTAGCCATGGTCTGAAATACTTCCCTTTTTTTTTTTTTTTTTGAGACAGAGTCTCGCTTTGTTGCCCGGCGTAGAGTTGCAGTGCATAGGCGTCGAGCCTCGTCACAGCAACCTCAGACCTCCTGGGCTCAACGCTCCTCCTGCCACAGCCTCACTCCCGAGTAGCTGGAGACTACAGGCATGCACCGCACACCATGCCCGGCTAATTTTGTTGGTCGTCTCCTTTTAGGGTGTCAGTACTTGTGTTCGTACTCCTTAGTAGACGAGACGGGTCTCGCTCCTTGCTCAGCTTGGTTTCGATACCCTGACTCAGCGACGTCCGTCGGCCGCCTCGGTGCCTCCCAGAGTGCCTAGGATTACAGGCGTCAACTTACCCGACCCAGGCCTGAAAATATTTCTAAATTAGAAATATTTAAACTATTAAGATTTGACTTTAGATTTATCGTAAATATTAGAATATTTAATATTAATATTATTAGACTGATACATATTCATTAATTTAAATATTAATATTATCTCATTAATTAATATTTGTCTCGTTCGAATATATAGAAATATTGAATTATTTCATTTTATATCTAATATAGTTTAAATATAGATTTAATGTAATTAATATTTATTATATATTATTTCATAGTTTATTAGTGTTTTGGTATAGATTTTATAATTTATAAATATTTATTATAAATATTTATTTGATATGTATTTATATAATTATTTTAATTAAACTTTATATTGAATATAGATTAAAATCATATTAGTTAAATAGAAATTATTAATATATTTCTATTAATTAATAGAAATAGAACACTATTAATTGGTATTAATCTAACTATTTCTTTTATTATCTATTAGATATTAATTGAAAAATTAGTAGTAAGTAGATATTAAATAAAAATATCGGATTTAAATCTAGATTC